TTTTATCTCCAACGTGGCTGATCACCTAAAGATGTATTCAAGCCTCTCATGAAGAACAGCGGTGACTGTTGTATACTTACAGATTCAAACGTGTCATAATAATATACGTTTACTTATTTATGTCAATAAATTATTCAGCATAATTTAATGGTTTCCTTTTCATGCAATAACACGTCCTTTACCTAGCCTTATAGGCCCAAATATTTACGAACAATTACTATCATGATGATCTATATCTTATATGATAGTGAACATGAAGAACCTTCATCAGTCCAGGAAGCTTTACATTAGTTTCCTAACAAATGGGGACAAACAAGATAAAAGCAATGCATATATTTTCCTTGAATGAACACTTAATAATTTACTCTCATACAAACATATAGTCAACGCTAATGTTTTTAAAGGTGTATTAACTGGTCTTCAACTTATCCCAAAAGTTGCAATATCTTTTTATGGAGAACTGCTTTGCCAGGTTGTAGTATGTGATCACAGATGAAGGAAAACATGACAGACGATAGTTGTTAATACTGGTGTCACCTTCTGGGCTTATGTTCAGTTATCGAAAATGCTTATATTTTTTTTATTTGTGAAACTGAAATGCTCATTGGGTTTCCTGACTAATTAGTTGATGATAATATGCTATCACAAGCAACCTGCCTTATAGAGCACTACCGAACCTGGGAGAACATGTAAGTTAACAGCAAGTCGAGGGAGAGGGTGGCAGCTCCTGTTAAACATGACCCTTAGTCCCACCCACTCATGGTGCACGGACAAAAACTCACTAGACTTACTCATCGAACTTCTAAATGACAAAGGTTATTTTAGGTTCATTGCGAGAACTTTTTGGAATCCTGATTAAGGGCGTATTGAGAATAGTTCATGTAGAGAGAAGTGACTACGGCCGACAGACAGACACCTACATGTGGCAACTTCTATGCAACCGATTGGGGTCACCTGTGGGTGTCTAACCACCAGTGAAAGAATCATCAACTTTTGCTCTTACCTTTTCATGACGCTTCGGTGAACAAGTTTTTTTTTTTTTGTAATACGAATGTACTCGCAAGCTTGACCTTTTAGTCTAAATCATACTAAATTGTCTTATTTGTAGAAGTATTATAGAAACCATAAATTAATAAGAAATCATTTATATTTTACGACAACTAGAATTAGGAAACCCTTATACGATGAATTGTGGCTTCCCGGAATACGAGCCAGTACGCCTCAAGACAAGAGGTGAACGCTTATCCACCACACACTTGGTATAATTATATTTCACCACAATTATTGCTATTTTTTTCATCCGGGTAATGATTTCAAACATGAAAACATCATTGAAGTCAAGGCCAGACAGGTGAACTTTGAGAGCTGCTGGTGGCGGCCACGTCGTGTTCTCCCTCACTGACCTCACCTGTGTTTCACCTGTCGTCTGGAAAGGTTTGGGTTATGTCATTGTACGTACACGAGAGGATAGTGTGGCTGACATTGAAGTTAAACCGCCATTACGTTGTTTGTCGCTCAAATTAAATTTATCAGTGCATTATAGAGAAGAAAGTCTGTACATTGATATTCATTTTGGTATAGTGAAAAAGGATCCGTGAACGAAACTACCTCATTGCCATCAATATAATTTATTAGTTATCCTTGTAAATAAATATCATAATTTATAGTGGTCGAGGGAGAGTGATCAGTCAGGTTACGGATGAGGTATCTACTTGGACTCGTTGGAATCGAAGTATCTTGGCCTGGGAGGGGCGTAGCGGGGAGCCTCCCGGGACTCGAAGGACTCGTAAGAGTCGGGGTAGCGAGCCTCTCCGTCGTACTTGACATCAGCAATGTAGCCTGAGTCACCGTCCACGACGTAGGTCACAGTCTGCAGACGACCGTCGGGGAGCTGCACGTAGTACGACCCCTGGGTGTCGTCACCATCACGAGTCTCCTGGTGACCAAAGTCGTTGCCAGAAGAGTCGTCCTTCACGGCGTAGTTGAAGTTGTACTGGGCCTCACCAGACTCAAAAGACTCAGCGGAATAACGCTTGAACGTGGTAAAAAGACTTAAAATTAGTATGCACCGTAACTATGCATTCAAATATTAACCATTATTTTTATGTACTGTACAGGGCACCACAAGTATTTCATCTCAGTCCAAAGAAACCATTATTGAAGTTAATGGTTATATGGAACAATTTGATATTTTCAGATTCATCAAACAATCAATGATAATAATACCCGAAATACCATAATAATGTACTCACACGAGGGGCAGCATAAGAGAAGGTTTCCCGGCTGCGGCTGTCTGCTGCTGCCAGGGCTGCCACGCCCAGCACGATCAAGATCTGTAAGTGCAATTTTATTTTTGTAAATGTAATAACAAAAGTGGGTATTATTATTTACCTATAGTCTATGAAGATATAATAGCACTAATAAAATGTTATATTCACCTTAGTGTTCATGGTGTGTGTTGTGTTGTCACGAGAAACTAACTGCCCATCCCTCTGCCGCTGTTCATTTTATACCACCGCGCCAGACCTGGGCCGTCCAGGGTCAAGTTCTTGCATGTGGTCGCTTACTTGTGAATTCTCAATCTGAAAGTTGGATGGCGTAAAGTGATGTAAAAATTAATGATAGCAATCTTAGAAGGAAATCTGAATTGGAAACTTTATTACCTATTGCTAACGACATGTTTCATTTGGTGATGCGAACACGCTTTGTTTATACTTGGAAGCACACACTTACACTACCATACACACACCTTTTATAGTACAGGTGACACACACTTACACCCCCATACACACACCTTTTATAGTACAGGTAACACACACTTACACTACCATACACCATTTATAGTACAAAATTGTGAGTAATTTCGCATTTTGTTGCTACGTCACGCTGCATATTGGGATTTAAATATATTTGCGTGTCTGGGCCTGTGTATGTGTGTGTGTGTGTGTGTGTGCGTGTGCGTGTGTGTGTGTGTGTGTGTGTGTGTATGTGCATGTGTGTGTATATGGGAGTAAATATGCGTGGGTGTGGCTGGGCTTTGTTT